GCTCTGATGTTCCCTCTGCCCAGAATACTCCCTCTTGGTTAACTTCCACTTACCCTTCTGATCTTAGCACAGGCTTCACCCTAACAGGTAAACCTCTGACCTTCTCCTTCATAGCGTTTATCAACACTTGCAATTTTACTTTCTTTTACATAAGTGTTTGATTAGTATTTGACTGTAAACTTCATAAGGACGGGGACCAGGTCTGTTTACTGACCATTGTACTTTCAGGGACTAGGAGTAGGCCTCAGTACAAACTGAATGAATGAATGACTTTACTTTCCCCCTTTTTTAAAGACCCCTCTTTCTAGGAAGTGGGATCCAATCTCTCAAGTTGGGCCAGAAGTCAATCCTGGGCTTAAGCCAATGCTACACCATACATCATTCCACTGTTTCTGGACTGAGTTACTCACAGGAGAGTGTTGTAACTCTCTCCTACCAGGTGTATCAGTCAGCCCAAATTGTCTCATTACTGTTTATCATGGCTTTGCTATGCAGCTAGGTCCTCCTGCAGGAGGTCCAGAGAAGCCAGAATTTTGGCTGGGCTGAGAGTGTGGAGTAAAATTTGCCGTTTACTCTTAATTGCCTATCCCCCACACCCCACTTCTATTTATAGTGTTTATTGCCCTGAATTCTAATTTTTAATTTTCAGATGTCCACCCCTCTAGACAGAGAGACAGGATTATCTCTTGCCCCCAGAGGCCAGTGTGGTGCCTAGCATATAGTGGATGATCACAAAGATTTATTGAATGAATACAATGTTTTCCATGATGGGGTTTTATTGAGGACAGAAAGCAACTCACAGGAGCCTTTTTTTTTTTTTTAACCCTAGCCAATAAATCTCTTTTTGTTTAAGTTAATTCGTGTTGGGTTTTCTGTTACTTGGAACTGAGAACATTCTGACAGAGCATAAATAGTGGTGTTCAAGTACAGGATTTCTGACAGATTATTATTAAAAAATATTCATTCCATATTCACTCCCTCTCACTCATCTCTGTAGGAATAGAGTACACCTCCCTTTGTGTTTGGGCTCAGCTAGACTTGCTTTAGCTAGTGGGATGTTAGCTAATCAGGGGTGTGAAGAGTGCTTTCATAGTTGGGCATACCTCCTTGCACCACAGCCATCTCCACAAGAAGAGTTCCCATGGATAGTCAGTCACTGCTCTGTCAGCTGGGTACCCCAATAGGAATGGAGAAGAGCAGAGCTTTATCTGCACACAGGAACCAATCCAGCTGGACCTGTAGCTTGAAGCAGAGCCATTCAGCCATGCTCCGCCTAAATTAGGTAACCCCAGGCTTAGAAGAAATGAATATTTTTTTGTGGCACACTATTGAGATTTTTTGTTTATTTGTTATGGAGCTATTACTGATGCAAGGTTAGGCCAGAGGTTCCCAAACAGGCATTGTATCTGAGTTACTTGGAGAATTTTAATATAAAGAAGGGGTACTTGAGTTCCCCTCATAATGTCTGGGGTGGGGGGTGTTCAGAAATCTACATCCTTACAAAATACTTTGGGTGGTTTTTATGTAGTGAGTCCCATATTCTTTTACAATCTGATATTTTGGGATCACCAATATTAAAACATGTGATGGGGGTTATATCAGATGACCACTAAGATCTTTTTTTCCTGAGACTGGATGACTGAAGTCAGAGAAACCCTGTTTCTGAAGTAGAGTCCTTTCCAATGAGAAATACATATTTACTTTTTCTTACCTAATTTGGAAAAAGATGCAGTTGTAAATTAATTTGTGATTTGTGGCCCCAGGGTTGTTGCTTTTTATTTGAGATGTCTTCTCTTAGTATTTCTGCCTGTGCTTAGCAGTCAAATGAAAATTAAAGGCAGAATCCTGGGGCTTGGAGGGTCAAGACTCAGGGCAGGAAAGCAGCACAGGGAAAGTCAAGCTTAGCAGGGAGGCTGTTGAAGGACTGACTGGTCTGTCTGAGAAGGAGCCTTCAGCTATAGGTTAGCAGTCAGAAACCTGGGATCACACCTGATTCAGAAGCCAGAGCTGAATATTTGTTGTAACAATGCCATGCCACTGCTAACAGCTTAGAGGTTTGAAGCAAATCTTAATAAAATGTTAAAAAACATGAATTTACATAAAAAAGCACAATGAAAGTATAATTAAATGGGAATAGCTTTTAAAATTATAACAATAAAAATTCTCATTGAGAAAAATTCAGGTAATACAGAAAAATATAAAGGACAAGAAACTATTACTCATAAGCCCACCTTTCAGAGGTAATCACTGTTAATATATTGCTATATATTCTTATTGGCCTTTTCCTATGGATGTATACACACACACACACACACATTTTAGAAAAACAGAATTTTCTTATACATACACATTAGCATCCTGCTTTTTTCTGTGGAGGTAAACACTAACCTAATCATGATTGTTAAAGCTGAATAATACCCCACTGTACAAAGAGGCACCATACTTATTTCCCACAGATGGACATTTAGATTATATTTACTATAAAAGTCTGTGATGGACATCCATATATCCAGTTTTGTGTGCTTGTCTAATTATTTCTTTAGGTTAAATTCCAATATATGGAATTGCTAGACTTAAAGGGTAAACATATATATTTTTTTTCAAAAGGGGACTTTATTTATTTATTTATT